CCCCATACTGGGGATGGAACCCAGGGCCTTTGCACTGTCCTTCCTCCCCGCTCCTAGCCCTTTCTGCATCTTTCAGTTTGGGGCAGGAAATGCTGAGTCACTCAGTTGTCCCGGAAAGGCTCGAGCTTGTGACTCTCCTGCCTAGCCTCTCATATGCTGTGCTCGGCTTTTTTTTTGTTTTTTTGGTACCAGGGGTCGAACTCCGGTCCTTGTGCTTGAGGCAGGCAGCAGAACGAGTGAGCTAAATCCCCAGCCCCTTCAATTTTTAAATTATTGAATACTTGCATGTATTTTCCTTCTGAAACAAGATTATTGGGCAGGAATGGATGGATTTTCCTTTTTGTTATTCATGAACTCAACACCATGACACACTGCTAATTCCAGTGCATGGAAAAGAAACAGCATGGCCTGATTTCCACTCTGTCCCCAGCAGTCGAGGTGACCGCATGAGTGTTTCTTACTGTGCACACCTGCCTGGAATTCAGTTGAGAGGCTGGCAGCTGTTGGAACTGAGTGCGGCTGTGTTTCAGGGCTTACTTTCTGACCAGGTCAGAAAAGCAGATACGGCTCGCGGTTGGCTGCTGATCACCGTGACCTTGAGGGTGACTAGTCAATCTGAATCCATCTCACACCTCTAAAAGTAGGGTTTCTTCTACATCAGTGATCTGATGGCAGAGCCTTCATGTGAAATATATGCAATTAGTTCACAAACTGTTAACTCTGTTCCACTCTGGTGAGGGATGTTAACAACAGTGACTTGAAATGTTACACTGAACTTGCTTTGTACATCACTCACCATCATGCATATTAAACTTGCAGCGAGATATTTCACATACATTAGAATGGCTAAAGTTAGGTGGCTCACACCTGTAATCCCAGAACTTTGGGAGGCTGAGGCAGGAGGAACATCGGTTCGAGTTAAACCTGAGCAACTTTAAGTGACTGAGATCCTGTCTCAAATTTACGCAAGTGCAGGGGATGGGAATGTATTTCAGTGCCAAGGCCCTGGGCTCAGTCCCTAATACCACAAAAAAACAACCAAACAAAAACCTTGCTAGGCCGGGCGTGGTGGTGCATGCCTGTAATCCCAGCGCTCGGGAGGCTAAGGCAGGAGGATCGCTGGGAGTTAGACCAGCCTGGGCTACGTCTCAACTACATAGTGAGACCCTGTCTCAAAAACCCAAAACCAAAACCTTGCTGTACACAGGCTGTGGTAACCCATCGAGAAGTCCATGCCTTCTTTCTGTCCTAAACTGGGTATAGCAGTGCTCATCATCCACACGCAGTGCCGGCTCCTGCTGCAGGCAGGAGTGATCGGGACTCCAGTTCTTGCCAGAACTCGGGTTCACCTGCGTGTCTGCCCCTGGGCCAGTGCCCGGCAGAGTGCCCTTTCCACTCTCGGACCCGAAACAGCCCATCCTCCACCCAGTGGGCGAGGACACAGCTCCGGCCAGGGCGCAGAGCATCATAACAGGTGGTGTGTCCCTGCGTGACTGGACTCGAGTCAGAGGGTGCCAGTTTCTTCTCTTGGGGCCTTCTCATAATGAGTGTCTGCTATAGCATCATGGCCTCATGCTAACTAGACATGCACTGAGTGTGGAAGAAATTTTTTGAAGGGAAAAAGGATCTCACTCTTACCCAGGCTGGGCCCCAAACTTGCAATCCTCCTGCCTCAGCCTCCCGAGTAACCAGAATTACAAGTATACGCCATCACACCTGGCTTAAAATGCACATTATTTTTAAATGCCTCGCAGGATAGCTCTATTCCAGATATAACTTCCCCCATGCTAGGGGTATTTATATCCTTATGTGTTTTCTCAACCAGTGGACACTAAAAGTATGCATGAAAGTGTGAAACAAACGTATGAAAAGTCAGACATCACTCATCATCACGCAAATTAAAACTGCGGTGAGATACTTCCTACCCTAGAATGGCTGGAGTGGCAGGCACAGCCGCCCTGGAAAAGACGCGGGCGACGCTCACAGCACGCATGTATCTGCGCTATCAGCGGGAGACGAAACAGTGACACTCACACTGCTTTCTTCTACAATAGCCCAAGCGGCTGAAGGCCCAAGTGTCCTCCCAGAGGTAGGGCAAGGAAACCCCAGTGGGAGACGCCTGAGGAGCAGACAAACCCCGGATCTACTCGGTGGGGGGATGAGCTGCACAGACCGAAGGACAAGGCCAGACGTGCAGGCAGAGGGCGTGCGGTGCAGCCCGTGTCCGAGAAACTCCGGTAAATGAAGACGTAACAGAAACCAGAGAAGGGGGCAAGAGGGGACGGATGCACTGGGCAGAGGCACCAGGAAACTCCCTGGAACGAAAAAAGGAAAATGTAAGGGTTCTACAAACTGCACAGATATCAACAGTGACTGAATGGCTACCCTAAAATCTACGCACTTTCCAGTCTACACATCTGAATACAAACCTTTTTCACCTTAAAATGGTCCCATTACCAGGTCTGACTCCTCAGAGGGCTCTGCAACTTGTACGAGCAGCGGCTCAAGCGCTGTGGTGACTTGGCTCCAGTTACAGCTTCGCGGTCCTCTGAGCGAGCGCCGCACTAGAAAACCGCAATTGCTCTTGAAGTCACTATTTTCTGATGAAGCGGTGCTTAGATTTTTCTATCCTAAATTTCTTCTTCAGTGAGGACATGATCTGCCACGTTCCGTTTGTGGTACACTGGAACTCAGAAGTCACCCCTTAGAGAACCTAAGCACTCAGGTCTCCAGAGATAAAGCCACCTACTCGTCCAGAGTCCGACCTTACACAGGAATCGCCACTTGTCAAACACTCATGCTTGGACAGAGATAACAGCTGAACTTTGAAAAGCGCACACTTTGTCTGCAGAGCGTTTCCAGAGCCAAGTGCTCGGCTGGCTCTGCTGCGGTCTAGGTGAAGTGTGGTGTGCTGGTCTGCACTGAGGTGCAGCTCTGCGGCTGACCCTGTAAGGAGCCGTATGGATGACGTGAACTCTGCGTATTCAAAACACTTCCACATTCTGGTCCGGGGATTTAGCTCAGCAGGGCCGCCGCCTACCTCTCAAGCATGAGGTCCTGAGCTCAATCCCCAGTACCCCCCAAAAAGGAAGAAAACCCACAAAACTTCCACACTAACACATCCAGGGAGAGAAAGGCACACGTGATATTCCTGCACGATAGTGGACGGCTACTGTGGTAAAATTTAACTTGAAACAAGTCAGGCAGGGCTTCTTACAATGGGTAGAGAGACTTAAATACTTAAGTAATGGAGACAGACTTTGTTATGTAGGAAAATTTTTATTTGATAAATATAACTTCATAAACTTTAAAAAAATACTGAGTGCTGTACAATAAGTTTACGACAGTTACTGACAATGCAGAGAGTTTTTAGAGGATGATGTTAGCCTGCCACAGTGTCTGAGGTCCAAAATTTTTATTGCTACATATCTCCAGCTACTCATTTTTCATAAAACTCTAACAATCACCATTACTACAAACATCATTAGTTATGATCTTTTCGTAGGCATATTATTAAGTTATTTTATATATCAAACAGCATTTTAATAATTTTTATGAAAATAGACGACTCATTTTAAGATAGAAATAAAAATGCCTATAAAGGGGGACCAAAATAAACATGTTTTACATAAAACTCTTTGGTTCATTAGTTTTATCAGTACCTGCCTTTTACCAAATTCCCTGGAAAGACTGATTTTTACAGGGAAAACACAAACATGAACGATTCCTCCTTTCCTTCAGCCCCCAAGATTTCGAGAGTCGTGAATTATTATTATTATTATTATTATTTTTTTTGGTACCGGGGATCAAACTCAGGACCTAGCGCTTGTGAGGCAGGTGGCGGCACCACGGAGCTAAATCCCTGGCCTGTGAATTAATTAATTGATTTTCCTGGTACTGGGGACTGAATTCAGGACCTTGCTCTTGACAGGCAGGCGCGGTGCCCCTGACTTACATCCTGGCCCTTGAGTAGTAAATTTTAAAAACTTCCAGCTCTTCACTATGTTAGTGGCCTCGGTCCCTCCCTATCGAGTCTCAAGCTTATCAGACAAGCTCAGTCCCCCCAGCTCCTGCAGCGGAAGTGACGTCAGCCTGGGAACTACACTGGAGAGCAGGCTTTTCCCCAATGGCACGGTTTGCCTCACCCTAATTTCCTACCCGGGGGAGCGCCAGGGTTGGGCTGGCGCTGGGAGCCTTCAGGCACCAGAGCCTCAGACTCAAGGAGAGCAGTAAGAACATCAGGCCCTGAATTCCCCTGCTCTGCCCCGCAGCTGCGGAGGACTCGGTGCCAGTCCTTATCTGCAGGCCCAGCGCCTTCTGACAGGCGAGGCAAGCACTCGGGGCACAGACCCGAGACCACTGGGCGACCAGCGGTGACACACGGAGCCTACTCTACTTCCGGGACAGGAGGAAGTTACTCATCAGTGTGTACTTTCCAAAGAATTTGAAAGAAAAAACGCAAAAGGGGAAGCTTTTCGGTGACTACTGCTCACAGAAGCAAGTTTTATAACGTGAACATGAGTACTAGAAAACTACTGAAGGTTTGTAAAACCCAGTATTATGTTCATAAATAAATAAAAGGAAATCCTCTTAAAATTACAAGATATCCTTTCTTTAAAAAAGGAGTTAAGTTTTGAACAATAGAGCAGGAAGGGCACGTCAGTGGGTGTCACTGAGTGGCTGATTTTGGTGCTGGGACTGAGCTCAGGGCCTCACGCATACTATGTAAGCCTCTACCATGAGTTACATTCTTGGTCTTATTTATTTAAAAAAAATTTTTTTTTTAAAGTAAGTGGGGCTGTGTATACCAATAGCCCAGCGGTAGAGTGCCTGCTTAGTACGTGCAAGGCCCTGGATCTGATGCCCAGCACCAGGGAGAAAAAGCTCTCCTTTGTGGCTGCAGTGGTCAAGCCGAGCGGCCCCGTGGAGGCCGGCGGGCCGCCTGTGGTCCTTCACCTGTGTCAGTGGTCAGTTCATCTGATGGACATGCGCGCTGTTACTGCAGAGGTGACGTGGGACCACTGACTCATTTCAGTGTTTTCTTTAAGACAGTCTTAGTACGTGGTCCAGGGTGGCTCTAACGTGTGCTGGGATTTCAGGCGTGTGCTACCAGGCCTGGCTGTCCTAGTGTACATGTACGCTTCAGAAGACATTCCACGAGAAAGCAAATTCCTGCTATCCTTTATCTCTTAAAGTATCCTGAATATTTCCGCACTGCTTCCTCTGTGGAACATGTGACAGTGAGTGTACACATTGTATATACTGTACCGTCCCTCTCCTGTATTTCCAGAGTAACAGATCTTCTGAAACCTAACACTGGAATATCCAAGAAGGGAAGTACGTAGCCTGGAGTACTGGGATAGATAATGTAACACCCTGCACTGTTTAAGGACAAATGGCCTAGCAAGCCAACAGCATACGCGCAAACACAGGCGAAGTCTTAATTGTCACTCTATCGTTCTCTGTCTACCAGCCCAAGCCTTTAAGAGTTGTACAATGAATCTCCAAAAAGGACTTACATCCCTAAGGGACAATTTGGCAAAACTTCATTTAACTTTTCTTCTAATTTTTATTTTATATTATGATCATTATATGCTACAGATAATCATTCTTAAACTAATGATCATTCCAGGTCTTAAAAACATTACTTTTTTTTTGGTACCAGGGATCAAACTCAGGTCCTTGCGTTTGCAAGGCAGGTGGCAGAACCACTGAGCTAAATCCCTGGCCCCTAAAAACAATGCTTTTGACAAAACAAATGACAACACAAATTTGAGATGGAAATTAAGTTTTGAGATGCAAGGAGTTAACTAGACCAACATGTGCCTGACTAGTCATGCTTAGCATTTTAATTCATTGCTGCTAAAAGTTTAGTATTTAGACTTTCTCACTGTCCACAGTCACACCTGACAGCACACCTGTAAAGGCACTCACTCTGCAGAGCCCACCTCAGATTAACACTCTAACCGCTCTAACCGGGAAACAGCAAGATCCCTATCAGAAATCCTTTACCCTCAAGTTTAGTTTACAGAAAGGCAGGAGTAATTCTAAGTTGGTCACAAAGAGGGGCTCTCCTCTTATTATTGATCTAATTAACCATATTTTGATTTGTATAATTAAAACTATTTGCAATGTATAAATACTGTCCAAACTTGCTTTTTATTGATATAGCTGAACTTTACAACATTGTCATAAAATACTAATATAAACAGAGCCTTCAGAAAGAGGTAAAAACCAAATGTATATTAGCCAGGCTAAAGCATGCAAAAGAGCCAATGATGAAGATATTAAATTAATATGATAAAGATCTCTAATTCACCCACTATAGGTTCTTTACATTTGGGCAAAAAATCAGTAAACATCACTTTGAAATCTGGTGCACAGACCTGACTTCTGACTTCTGCCCAGGACAGACCCTTTACACACACAGCTCACTGGTGGAGGCACAGCAGGCTTAGAGAAACCTGCTACGGCCATCAATTCACTACCCACACTGCAGTCAGCGAGGGGAGATGCATTCTCCTAGTTTGCTCTGTGACTTTAAAACGCACTAATGGATTAGCAATACAAATCACCCAGGTACCAAAATTCCTTAATATTCACATTCACTTTTCCCATGAAAAGCTTTAAATATAACTCTAATAAAAAAATAGAGTTCTCAAGGCAAACTTTCAGCACAATTTACAGAAGCAGATTTAAATAGAAGAAAATAACCAATCTAACCCTAAAAAATACACATTAAGTAGGAGTGATCTCAGCGACCTCAGCAACATGCTGAAATGCATTAGGAGTCCCATGTGCGCAGGGACAACCCAGACAAAAAGAACGAAACTGTCTTTATTCACCATTCTTGACATGTTCATATTCAAATTAAGGGAAGAGGAAAGGGGTTCATGTTAATGCTTTTTTTGCAGTGGGTCTGAACCACTCCAGAGATTTCGCAGTGACTTCAGGGCTAGAGTGGTCATTTACAGGATGATCAGCCCTGAATTAGAGGAAAGGAGGTGAAACTGCTCTACAAGTACTACTGCCCTTTAGCAAGTAGATGAGTCCATTGTGGAGAGAGTCAGGACGCTCCTGTCGCTGGTACAGAAAGGATCCGAGGCGCTCCACGATCTAGAGTAATAATAAGAGAAAGGTTTGGCTCACCAGGGCCTGTGTTTTAATTGAGAAAAAAAAGCTGAGTCTTAAAATTTAGGACTGAAATACATTCGAGTCTTAAAATAATCACTGGTTCATTTTTAAGCTAAAGAGAAATTCTTCACATTAGCATCGAATGCCCATTCTATTTACATTTTACAAAAACTTGGGAAAATTATGCCCTAGTTACCATGTAAAAATATTAGCCAAAATCCAGACATTCTTTAGCATTGAAACATTATCTGGAGGTAGTAAAGCATGAGATGCTTTTAAAATCTTAGTAATCCAAAATGAAGTGCTATTTGGACATAAACACATTCAGTTTTACTGAAAAGCAACTAGGCTGTATGGTGACATTACAGAAAACCCCCTCCCAAAATTCCCACTTACAAAAGCCTTGGGATGAAATAGCACGTTCACATTATTGGTCACACTTTTTTCAGTTACAAAATTCTCCGCTGGATGTTTCAGCCTCATTAGCGTGAATGAAGTAAATGCCTTACTCAAAGATATCAAAGACACTTGCAGGGCACTAGCATTTTCACTCAATTAAGAAAAAGCGATTCTTTACTGGTTTGGAAAAGTTAACTACTTATCCGAGTGACAAGGCCCTTAAGCAATTCAGTATATATAGCTGTAAATTTAAATTAGCTTGAATTAATTTAAACTAAAACAACTCATGACCAAAAAAGTAGCCCGCCACGCTTAAAACAGTCCAACTGTTACTAAGGACAGTATTAGGGTCACCAATGAAAAAGGTGGCTTTTATTAGATTAACAGTACTTAGCAATAAATATGTTTCATGTAACTTCTGCCAGGGCGGACACCTTCCCTGAAGAGGTGTGAGAAAGAGGCTGGCATTCAGAAGGGCCCCACGGGTCTTTACCAAGTATCTTCTGTATTTTTAGAGACTGTACGGGGAAGGTAAGTTTGAATCAATGAAGTAAGCAGTCACTGTGAAGTTTGGAATCTAGCAACATTACAGACTTGGCTAAACAATCAGCAGCTGCACTAGTTCTCTGATTTTTAGTGGCTTCCAGGAAGTCCTGAACACCATCTACCTCAGGTTAAGAAGGGCTGTTCACTTCTCTCTCTGGCACCTGGAACTGTGTCTGGCACGCATTAGGCACCCAGTAGTTGTAGAATAAATGAATGAGAAAAGAATATGGAGATTTCTTACACAGTAAATATTTATGGGGGGAACTATGTTTTCAACTGGAACTTGTTAACAGCCTAATTATCTGTAGTCAAATGTCAAATTCCAAACTACCAATATTTCATATTAGTTTTTTCCTTTTCCAACCATTGCTTACACTGAAGAAAGCTTATCAGATTTTCCTTTATGTCTTATCTTTTCAAAGGACACATGCAAACTGAATGCTGAACATCACTTTTGACAGAGTATTAAACACCTGAACTGCATATTAACGTCTATTTAGGGGCCGGGGATTTAGCTCAGTGGTTCTTCCGCCTGCCTTGTAAGCACAGGGACCTGAGTTCAATCCCTGGTACCAAAAAACAAAACAAAACAAACTCCTATTTAAAAGGTCATTTTGATTAGAAAATGTAACTCTTAGCGCAACACATATACAGAATCATACTCGCTGAAATGCAGCTCCTCAGGGTACCACACGGCACAGCCTTCTGAAGCTGAGTTTGCAGTATGGCGTACTCCTTTGGTAACATCAACTCATAAAATAGAAGTAAAATTTTTGTGACTAGATAAGACTTAGCAGAGAAATCTGTCATATAAAATCCCTACTGTAGTTCTCAAGTGATGCCCATTCCTTTTGTATGTCAAAGGAACAAGCAGCCAAGGGCTTCTACATCATGTAACAGAGGTCACAGACTTATCCCATCCTCACCTTAGACATGAAACAGAAATGCAGAATAGAAGCTGCTTGAAAATCCAAAAGGAAACGCCAAACATATTTCACAAATACAGTTTTCTGCAGAAAACAAACTCCTACATACCAAGATGACTGTTTAACTATAATGTTCATATAGCCCTTTGAAAAGCACCAAGTAGCTCTGTATATTGTATGATTTTTATCCCCTAAAAAACTAACAGGAACAGATCTGAAAAGACTTTAGCTTCACCTAAAGAAAAAGAAAACTGATAAGTCATTATGAGTATAACCTGAAATGTTGGACAGTGCTGCAAAGGCATTTATAACCTGTCAAATAAAATATTAATTACGGTTAGACATTTTATTAGAAAAAAAAATCTTAGAAAAGAACTGGTGTACTTTTTTTTTTGGAACCGGGGATCGAACTTGGGCCCTTGTGCTTGCGAGGCAGGCGGCGGAACCACTGAGCCACATCCCCGGCCCTGGTACACTTCTGAGTGAAGAGAAATACAGATGGTAAGAGCCGCCTTTGGGACTCGCTGGTCAGTGCAGTGATGCCCGGGGATACAGGGTCTTAAAATTAGTCTAGGTTTTAAATAAGTCATTAGCGAAGATGTACATTGTCATTAAAAAGTAATTTATATTGAAGTAGAAATTTACAAAATTCTGTAGAAGCTCTGTATAGTATCGTAGTCTGTTTCCCATTTTGGTCTGTGTGGGAAAACTGTGTTATTAGCTAAAACAGGGTAAGTTAGATCCTTCTGGAACATCTTTGGAGAAACTCAGTAGCCTAGGTACATGACAGAGCTACATTTTTATAGTGTATTTTATAATACAACTGTATAAGATATAACAAAGTCCCAATAAATTTAACCTCACAATAACCCTTCTATGTAGGATGAAATGACTAAGAAATGATATCACAGCATTACGTAAATATTTTGGACCCCATGTTATAACGAGATCAGAGTAAATGGGGACTGAAACCATAGGCATTACATTAACATAAAAATGGTATTTATCAATTCAGTTGTACCATAAAGACATGGCCAGAGCCAAAGGTAAAGTGACAGCCGAGAGTTCACCGGTAAAAGCCACCCACATTTCAATACACGAATGATATCACAGTCATCACTTTTTAAAAACACTCACAAAGCTCACTAAGCATCGAAACAATGTTTTTGCCAACAGGTAAAAGTAGTGTTCTCCCCACCCCTGTTCCTTGCCTCTAGGAAGGGAGCTTTTCTAAGCAACGGCACAGAGAGGCGCTGCCCATATGGCGCCGTGGGGAGGATGGGACTCCTATCTCTGAAGCCGTCATGACCCTCAGGGACCCCGGGAAATGCTGCTCTCACCTTTGTGACTCTGATATCATTCGCGCGACCAACACCAAGCGCAGAGAACGTGATTGCTTATTCCATAGTTCCCCATAATAAGGATACACACTTGGGGCAAACACACGGAGACAGAGGAAGGAATGAACCCATTCCACCTGTGAATGATTTTTAAATGGTATTTACCAAAAATTGTCTTTTCTGATTATTATTCATAAAAGCTGTGATAAATCTAATTCAAGAAATAGACTTGGGAGGTGACATAACTGCTAAGGTTCTTCTGATCCATAATTTACTTAACACCAAGTAAAAGAAACTTAAAAAAATCACAATTAATTTCAAAACTACATTACAGACATAAAGAAGGGTCAGGAAACAGAAATACAGCCTTGTGTGTTTAACCTTGAATGACCAGTTGGGAAATATACATGAAGAATAAGAAAAGCAAAGACATCTGACTTTACTGTGCATGGAGATTACTTTGTAAAGACAAAGCAAAGGAGAAATCAGCAGAAAATGAAGCGGCAGTAGGATTTTAAAAAGGAAGTTATACAAACCAAGAAAAAAAATACCACATACACACGCCTATTCACCACATTTGAGTGATTATAAAACAGAATTTCTTTGTTCATGGGATGACGTCTCTTCTGAGGTGCTTTTTCTTCCTTTGTAAGTGAAAGAGCCCCACCCAAAGCCACAAGGTGAAATCTACCGTCAGTCAGAGGGCTAACGAACAGGAGACTTCCTGCTTCAGTTGGTAAAACCAGCTGCTGATTTACTGGGCATCTAGAGCTGCAGGCTCCTCCTGTTCCAGTTTACAGGACGGTCACCTGCAGCAAAGGCTACTTAGAGAAAAGTCACACCTGCTGACGTGGGTGGGGCCACACCTCTCTAGAGCTCGTTCCAGCATTCTTCTAACAGAGGCGCACGCCGCTTCTCCTTCTGGGAAACAGCACGCGGAGTCCACGCACTTGACACCTGAATTTGTTTCAGTAAGCTGGAAGGGTTAAAGCAGAAAAGAATTAGTTATGGACAGCTTTAGATTGCTAAACGGTACTGAAATAATGACACCCAGCACTTTACAGCCAAAAGTAATGTGTACAGACGTTATGTGTTTTCTATGATAGGGAAATGTATGAGGCTTTCACAGAAATACAGTTATACAAAAATAGAAAGCATCTTCTATCCTGACTGCAAGTCTTGCGAAGGATCTTAGTCTTTTCTCATGGTCAGACTGGTTTATGTCACCTATTCAAACTCAGTGAGTTCTAATTCTTCTTGGAGTTTCTGTTTATGTGAAATGCTCCTGCAGTCACAATAAAGATGTCCAGCAATGGAGAAGTGTAGAGATACGAACTGTATGGAAAGCTGAGAGGTAACAACCCGGCAGAACCCGATCTTCAAGACAAAGAACAGCGGCAAACACTTGATGCAGTGTTTACTATGAGCTATTCGAGACACTATACATTTATCTATGTCACAGTTATTTCTGATAAAAGTATTATTACTGTATTGGTCACTTTAAATGGCTAAGCAACTATTAAGTGTCATCCACGTTTATAATCAGCTTGTGTTTAAAAGTAAGCTGGTGGCACATGGATGAAATTTGTTAAACAACCTTGCAACTAGTACTATTAAAGTTGAATTAATCTCTCAAATATGCAAGATTTATACTGATTCATGCCTAAAAAGCCTGGCAAGATAACATGATTCTACTACTAACAATTTTATTTTATTTTATTTTATTTTTTTGGTTTTTTGAGACAGGGTCTCACTCTGTAGTTGAGACTGACCTGGAACTCACTGTGTAGCCCAGGCTGTTCTCCAACTCACAGCGATCCTCCTGCCTCAGCCTCCTGAATGCTGGGGTTACAGGCGTGCGCCACCACGCCCAGCTACTACTAACAATTTTAACTGTGTTTCAATGAAGAAATACCAATGATGTGAGCACATCTCAATGAATCCCAACCCTTGTCTTGCTACTCGAGTGCTTTTACATTTTGCAAGGGTTGTCATTTTAAAAAACAAGCCTAAATCATTTTCCTTTACATATTTAACACCCTACCTAACAAATCTTTGGAAGAATGAATTCAGGGGGGTTCTGTTCCAGAGGTTGGGAATCCCCTCTGTCCACGGCGACAGAGGAAGCGGGGAGAGAGGCTCACAGTGGACAGGCGCATGGTGGGAGGGAAGCGACCCAGCTTCGCAGTGTGAGGGACTGGAGGGGGCCTTTGAGGTCCACCCTCGGAGCAGCGTGGGATGCAGCACCAGCACTGCAGGGTTTGCCGAGCAGCGAGGAAGAATGAAACCTTATGTGTTATTTAAAATACGTTCAGTTTAGGACTGTGTAGGGCACTGTTTCTTAAACTGATTTGCGAGATGTTTACAAACATCTCGCTTAAAACAAAAAGCTCTAAGGCCAACTGAGTTTGGGAAACACTGATGAACAGACCATGGCTGCTCGATGAGAGGAGCCTGAGCTCCGTGATTCTCCAGACTGTCTGCAAGACCCCTCTCATGTCCACGCACCAGGAAACACTGATCTCCTCCAGAAGGGGCGTGAACACGAGAGGGTGTCCCTACGCAGAAGGCTGTCCCGGGAAGTGCTGCTCCAGTTTAGGAAGCTTCCCTACTCCTTTCACTCTGAGCTGTCACTCTCTGTGTTCTATTCCGCTCCTTGTCAGCATCACTTCTGAAGTGGGACAAACACTTAAATCCAGCTTCTGTATCTGCCGAGCAAGGCACTGTGCCAGTACTTACTGGCGAGGGCAGCCCTGCCTCGACCTCAGTAAAGGGAACACAGAGGTGGGAGAAATTCAAGCCCCAAACTCTCTACGGAGCCTCTATCCTACCTTCCTATACCATGGTCTGAGAGGGCCTACTCAGCAAAGACAAGGGAAAGCTCAAACCCAGATGTCGTTGGCACTAGGGGGAGAGCATGAAAGATCTAACGAAAAAAGATGGCATTTCAAATACATGTTGGAGGGTGGTGGATTTCAGTAGCTGGAGACGGGCAGAAGGGCAGGCCAGGTTGGAGGAGGGGTGCGTCACTGTGTGGGGGCACAGGTACTGTGTGCAGCATAAGCTTAGCCTCGGCCTGAGGGAGAGTTGTTACTCGTCCCGTTACACAAAAGCTGCTGCTTCAAGTGTGACCACTGGCTCGATGCTGATCTGTCAATCTGATCCACAAAGTAAGCGTTTCTGGTCTGTGAGAATAAGAGTTCAGAGAAATTTATAGCACTTTTACCGAATAATATGACAGAACTGCTAAATCTCAAAATAATTTTAAAACTGGGATTTACTGTATATTTTTAACATTTTCATTTTCCTAATTAAAAAAAATTTCTTTGAGGCAGGGTCTCTCTTTGTAGCCCAAGCTGGCCTCGAACTCACAGCGATCCTCCTGACTCAGCCTCCCAAGCGCTGGAATTATAGGCATGCGCCACTCCACATCCATTTGTATTGTATTCATAAAAGTACTGGTCCACGATGGACAGGAAATTACAAACAAGGAAACAACAGACTGCCCCTTCGGCACATTTATCCGAGGACTACTGAGCTAGACCAGAGATGGGAGAGGGCAAGGGTCTTCTCTGTACTTGTTAGTTTAATGACATGTGTTTTGCTTGTAGCTGCTGCTCAAAAGATTGAAAGGGATGAAGTGAAGATGTGACCCAGGTCACAGCCCTGGGTGTCCATGGGTCTGCACCTGCACTTTAGGTCATTTTCTTGCTTTGCATTCACTGTAATACTTAAGGGCAAGTATTAAAACATGAACAACCCAAGGGAGAGAGTAAACCCTATGCAATGTCAAATACATTACAAAGAAATGACTCTTCAGATTAGCTTCTGACCTAGACAAAACCTATTATTTCCTTTTCTTTTCCTAAGTAGGAAAAACAAACAAACAAACAAACAAAAACCAACAATCCAGCTGCTCTGAAAATGATAAAAGCTGGCTAAGCGTGTTTCTGGAAAGCTCTCTACAGAAAATGCTGTACTGATTTCTAGCAAACATCCAAGCACTACCGCTTTCCCACACACACATCTTTCATTTCAGTACCCATGACCTGGGAGCTCGGCCAGAGAACACGCAGCCATGGCTGCCAGGAGGACTGGGGTGAACATTTACTCTTGTTTTACTCAAGGAAAGGGGAGGGAATCATAGCACTTTGGGAAAAGACTAGTTGTAAACACTACAAAAGAAAAGGGAAAAACGCAAACTAATGAGAGAGAGCCTACTTGGTAGCAACAAGAACATACATTTTATCAGAAATTTTACCTGTTGCCAAGCCTCACTCTCTAGGACTCTTGCTTCCCAGGACAACCACAAGGAGGGCTGCCACACAAACGTCCATGGAAGTGAACACGACTATGTATGGCCAAAGGAAATGGTCATTATCTTTACAGAACTTGCCTTCGGAAATAAATCTAAGCCCACTGGTTTCTTATTTGTTTGTTTTGAGACAGGGTCTCGCTATGTAGTTCAGGCTGGCCTTGAACTCACTGTGTAGCCCAGGCTGGTCCTGCCTCAGCCTCCCCAGACGTGGGATTATAGGCGTGTACCGCCATGCCAGGCAATGATGGCAAACACTCAGTTCCTTTTGTTGCTTACCAAAAATATTACAAATGTTAGAAAATTGTCTTACATTTTTACCTATGCCACTCCTATGACACCAAATAAAGTCTCCGTAGTGTTAGATAAGAACTATAAAACTATCAACTGTATTAGTATGTTTTTCCCTTGGAACTGTTTTATATACTGGATGATCAGTGTAAACACCTGGTCTAGTCCTAAACAATTACTTGGAAAGATGCCTTCAACTCTAATTACAAAAAAAAAAAGACAAAAAACATAGTTTGGGTTTGCCGAAATGTTTTTCTTTTCAATGTGAAATCAAAAGTCATCAAGTATTATAGTGAGTTGCAACTCTGGCTGAGGATTATACACTCCCTACAGCAAGCCAGCAGAGGCTGCTAGCAGGGCCTGGGCGAGCGTCTGGACTGAGGGCCTCTCCAGAGAGTGCTCTCTAATTCCCTTCCTCTTCCCTCCTGAGATACAACAAACAATGCGAAATGCTGAAACTCTGAAAGACAAAGACAGCTTAAATATTTCCTTACTGTCTTTTCGGGCTTTCTAGAGAGCAGGAGGTTTCTGCATATGTTGCCTAAATTCAACAATGAAAATAAATACAATTGTATTTGGTAAGTTGATTTAAAAATTTTTTAAAAAAATTTTTATTTTATTTTAGGGCTTATCCATAGTCACATGGTAGGCTGGACTCCCTTTATCTTTTGCTTTTTTTTTTTTGTTGTTGTTGTTTTTTTTTTCGGTACTGGGGATTGAACTCTGGTCCCTGCGCTTGCAAGACAGGCCACCGAACCGCTGAGCTAAATCCCTGGCCCAGGACTCCCTTTATCTTAATGATGCACTTATTCACCTGATTATGTAAATAACATATGACTAGGAATTTACAGTTGCAGTAAAAAGAGTATCAGTATCTGCGAAAAATTAAGTCCTCCCAACTGAATGGTGAGAGTAAATGGTTATCTGGATAGCTGGCAAGGGAGAACATTCACTTGTTATTCCTTACAAAATTAACCATCAGTGGTAGAATTTTTTATTCTACATAATTACTAACCATTGAATATTCCACATATCCTAATGAGGTTTAGTACTGATTACAGTGGATTCCTCAAAAGAGTAATGAAGCCATTATCAATTCATATTTTTATTACAGATACAACTCGGGAAAATGTATTAAAACTAGGGAAAGTTTATTAAAAGAACTAAGTTTGTTAAATATCAATTAATAGACAATTACTAAGTCTAAGCACTCATTCGAATATTTAGCTCAAGAAGTAGACGTAGATAAGTAACTTGGTGTCTACCTACATTATGATGTATAAACTGACACACAATTTCAAAGGGAGTAATTTCTTGAATGTAAGACAACAGGTTGTGAGAATACCTTACTAGGTTAGAATATGAGGTGA